TGATTTCCCACATTGATTCTCCCTTAAAGGAGAAACTTTTTAAAAGTTTGTTAACCCATTTTAAGTTTGTCTGCAACCCTTTCATACATTCTTGCCACCCACTTTTGGGTCACAACCCATAGATTGAGAAACGCTGCTTTAAAAGACATTACCAAAAAAGTCCTTTTCTTGATCAAAATGGTAAGGAGACTCATCCTTCCCCTTTCCTGCTGACTCAGCAGCATCCCAAACCCACCTCCAGCTGCATATTTGTCTCTCCCCAGACCTTCAGAATGCCTCAGTCCTCTTGGCAGTGAAGCCCCGGCTTGATTCCTGCACATTGTCTACCTAGTTACGCACCCAGGCATGATGCTGGCTCTCATTCATTTTTAGTTGCCTTGGGGATGGCAGGACCTAGTAGACAGCTCACCCCTACATCCTCTTTGCATCTGCTCATCTATCACTGTCTGCTACTCCATTCCTCCATCTGGAATAACTGATCTGAAGTTTTCCTCTTCCTCAAGGCTCCTACTCTCCATCATCATCATTACCATAATCATTTTAAGTGGAGGATCTCCCTGGTTTGGGGTATATTTATCACTTATAAACAGTTCAGTGACTCTTACCACCCTTTCACTAGTTTGTACCAAAATATTCAGGTGTGAACAGTTTAACAAGAGTATACTCATAGCATGTCACAGAATCTGTTTCCAAGCTAGCAGTTTCGCTGGAGAAGGGAAGTCAATAATTGTCAATAATTGTGCTTGTCAGAGTATTTTAAAGCCAAAGCAAGTAAAGGTCAAATTAGATTTGCTTGACTTTTTCTGGATTTTCCCATTTGGCAAAATGAAGCCCAGGAGGGTAAGGGGAAGTTACTGAAGTAACTTAAGCAACTCATTTCAGTTATTAGATACAGCACAGCATAGTTTGGATGACTTCCTGCCAAACATCAATATCATCTTGGATAAAGATTTAAATGTGACACAGTTTTGCAGTCAGCAATTCTTCATGCTCAAGTATGAATTACAATCAGCCAAAAAATATGATCTTACTCTCATAGAAATACTTATACACAGAGAGGGACCAGAAAGATATAAAGATTAAGCCTTATCATCTGGCATTATAAAACTGATCCAATTTTAGTAACCAACACTGCTTCAACAACAAACTAAAAGCAGACCAGTAAACCAATATTTTTCAGTTCTGGGCACCAGAAATTAAGCAACTAAATAACTAGCTGCTACTTTAAGACCCCAACTCCAGAATTAGTAATAAGTTGAACTAGCAGAGTACACCACATTCTTTAAATAAGCTTTGTTTTTCATATGCAGGGCTGGGCAAATTGAGTCAATTAACTAACAGAGCTAGGTTTTATTTCTCATTTAAAGCCATGTAAAAAGTGAGTGTTCTTACTCTGGAAGAGTACCATCTTAACACAGTCCATGGGTCAGTGGTCCCCCTTCCACTGGGGTAGGAGCACTTTGTGATATAAGCACATCTTTTAAGTGCTGGCATTTATAAAGCAATTCAAGGAAGAGTGAAGTGAAGCAATTTTATCCACCAACAAGGTAGCATGACATTAACAGTCACAGCTGCAAGCTTCTAAACAATACACCTGGGTTCAGCATAAACATGTTTTGCATCAAGATGACAAGTGTATCCATACAACATGGATGTCTGTGCACAGTAACTAAACCCTGAAAGAACCATGAAAACTAATGAAACACAATCTTGTAAATTCAGTGGCAGTTCATTTTCACAGCTAGCATTCATGAAGTAGACATGACCACATTCCCACCTTCTTTCTTGCCCTTCAGCTGCTGCTGCAGCAGCAGCTCTAATTTAGCCTTGGGTAGGCTGAAAGGTTTCTCGCCTAAAGACCCCCCTTATTTTGAGGGGGTGATGTTGGGGGGGGGGGGGGGGAAGCATGATCTCTGGATATAGGGCTGCAATGTTTGCAACCCTGGAGTGAGAAAAGCAGGACAAAGGGACTTTAAGCTACCACTCCCAAAGTACAAGAGAAAAAAAAAAATGTTTCCATTAAGTGGAGACTGAAGTTAGTAAGCAACAATGGATGATGCAATTGGGAAAGATTAAGGCAAGAGATCCCGAAGTAGTCCAAGGCTAGCCTAAACTGTCATCACGGCAAAAAGGAGAGCGGAGCATACCTAGAAACTGGAGCAAAGAAAAAGAAAAAGCTAACGTGATCGAATGTCACCATATGGAAAAGCCCCACAAGCTTCACCACACCATGCCCTAAAACAGCCTAAATAAAATTAAACTTTGGGTTAATTCAAACAGTAAAGAGAAAACATCACATCAAAAGTATGCTCCATGATGTCCAAAGTTAAAGCCACATCACTTCTATTAGGGCTGTGACAGAGATTAAGGTAAGCCAGAGCCTCCCCACGTTATTGTGGATGCATTGCCTATCACAGTGTTGGGCCAACCATCTTTCAAAGGACATGCTAGGCCAACATTCTGATAACTTTGGATCCAAGCAAACCCAGTGCATTCAAATTAGGATATTGGCCCTAGGAACCAGGGACACTTCACTTACCATAACTATACTGGAACTAAATTGCTCCCATTTTAATATAGTATTGTGACACTGTGTCGCATTCCACTTCAGAGCTCACTTCATTTTAGTGGCATTATGTCAAACAAAAAAAAGCACTTGGGAACTCTTTGGCCAATGTACATTAGTTGTGTAGTTCATCTCTGTAAAGCAGGTCAAGTTTACAAGCCAATGCTATACAAACAAAAAAGTTTATGAAAGGGCACCATCCATTTCAGTACCAAACTGACAGTGATTCTTAAGAATACATAAAACTTGTCATAGGCTGTTCTAAAACTTCTAGAACTAACATTTGGGAAATACTGAAAAAAATTAAAGATTCTATTTAGGCACTTGTCAGCACTGGAGAACTTTTAGAAATCTGATATAGATTATTTGTTCTCTTCCCTTAATTTAAGGATAACCGCTTAGTCTTTAACAGGGATATCTTTTTCCCAAATGTTACCATGGGAGCTGAAGTAACTAAAAGAAAACAAGTCTAAAGAGTCACTTCCCATTTCAGTCAAAATGTACTTCCTCTCTCAGTTGTCATAATATCATAGGCAACCTATCAAGTCTTCAAGGTAACAAAAGATGACTCACTACTAACAGACACTTCACATCCTCTTTAACTATGAAGCATAGATGCACAAACCTGCATTTTCTAGTCTCTCTTCTTTATACTTGGTCCTAGAATGGATAAGAACCCAACTCAGACTGCACATGTCACTCTTAGATGCCAGGGTGGATTTTGCCCTGCCAACTTGCCCTGGTAACAACTTGCACAAACACTTCAGGCTTCAATTGAAAAAAAATATTTATCTATATATTGGTTTTGCCTGGAAAATAAGCCTACCGGCATGCAGATTCATACTTAATCTTATTCAAAAGCATTTGCAGGATTGGTACTTATGCCTTCCAGCATCTCAGTTAAAGTCTCTAATGAAGCAAGTGCTTTGCTAAACTTTGCTTTGCTCCATTTAAAACTATAGGTCAGTGTGCAATATGAAGACACAGGCCACAATAGTCAGCTATGTTACTTAGATGTCTAGTTTTATAGACACTGCTTTTCACAGTTGCAAAGTACCCATATGCAACAAAGACTCCCCTGCAAAGAAAGATACTTCTTTAAACAAGAGAGTTGGAACAAGGAAGTTATACTCAAGGCAATCTTTAAGAAACAAAAAGAACCCCCCCCCCCACAAGATGGCTACCCCAGAATCGAGAAATCTGAACTAAGCGCATATACACATTTAAATTTTATAGGCATTATTTTCAGTGAGCAGAACTGAGATTAAAAGACCTATCAAATGCGACTCTCAACTGCTCAAGTTGTTCAGATCCCCTTACTAGGTAGTGACATGAATCGTGTCCAGCTCAAACTGTTTCAGTCCTTCCACTTCCTGATAATTTACATTTACAAATCACAGACAAGCAGCTTAGCGAGCAGCCATGAAGCAGTCATGACAGCAGCTCTGGGACAAGCAAAAAAACCCAAAAAAAACACCCAGAGAAAAAAGCATCACCCAGACCAGCTGCATGGATTTCTTAAGGTGGTATGTTTTATGGGACCGACCACATAGCTAGGATACAGTCAGACCAGCTTTCAAACAGAAGTCATTCTTCCCCAGGCCTGGCCAGAAGAGCCAGACACGGCACACTCAGGTTTTGTTCTTGGGTCAAGACAACAAACGTCCATGTGAGGCAGCCCAGCAGGCCACCATCTCCCTTCCGAAGGAAACAAGATGGCTCAAAGAATCGGAGCCTGAGAAGCCTCCAACTGTTGACTGTGGCGAATAGCTGAAGATAACGGGGCTGGAAAGAGCCAGGGCTGCAACGCCAGAGAGCAGCTGCTCTGGGGGCACCGATTCGCTTAGAGGCCACTTGTTTCCTTGCGGGCTGTGAGGCGGGCTCTCCCGACTCACTGCCCGCTCGGGGGAAGCCCCAAGGGGAGGGCAAAAGCCGCGGCCGACCAAGCGACAGGTCCTCCTGGGACTACGAAGCTGCTGAGAAAGAGCCGGGAGGCTTCCCCCAGGCGACCCGCAGCCAGCAGCGAGGCCGGGACCGCTCGCCCAGGCGCTACCCCTTCCCCGGCGAGGGACTAGGAAGCGCCGCGGCACCTAAGCCCACCCTC